GATCCAAATGGTGTGAGGCTAATTTTGGTAGAATTACAGTGAAGTCTAGTATTTAAGAAAAATATATCTTGAGCACATTATGTAGAAATTTTGGATGAATTAAATAGGAACTTGAAAAGTGTTTTTGAATGCATACAAACTTGTTTAAATCATATCTTGAGTTTTTGTGATCCAAAAATTATGAAATTTTGTGGGTAAGCTAGTCTTGTATAGTAGAAGCTCTGGTTAAAATTTGAGAGTCATTGCATGTGTAGTTTTTGAGTTATAGATTTTCCTTTTATCACTGGTAGATACTTTGGTGAATTTTTGTAAATTATCTGTGATTCCAATGACCATGAAATTTGTTGGAGAATGTCCTAGTACCTTAAGGATGCTAGGAAAAATATGAAATCTGTTGCTTGACACTTTTCACTAAGGTTTCCTAATTATGTCATTTTAAGCCATTCTGCCTTACCATTTTTGTGTAGGTTGTTATACTTACTCAAATGGTGTGAAATTTTTATGGTAGTCTACTTAGGGCATGTAGTGTCTACTGTAATTTTTGTAGAATTAATGGGGCAGTTTTCATATATATTTACTATTTCCCCTAATTAAGTAATAAATTAAGAAAGGTATTAAAAGAAATGTTTTGGTGATGGACACCCTACTTTCTGGTGTTCTTGTGATATGTGTGATATGTCAGTAAAGTTGGTTTTGTCCAATTAAGCGTTTATATCATAAGTTAATAATTATTTGTTTGCATCATGTCCCTCTGGACAGATCTGGGAACTTTGGAAAGTTCCCCATGATAATTTGGTTTTCTGTGATTGTGATGAATAGAAAAGTTGTACATAATTTATGTATCTAGCTCCTGTCAAAATTTGAGGGCATTTGGCCCAGTAGTTTAGAAACTACAGCTGTTTGAAATTAGGTTCCAGTTTTGCTTACTCTCTGCCTTGTGAGGACAGGGTTCTGTTGATGTATGAATTCGACTTGGTAAAGTGTTGAATCATGCTTTGAGGTCTAAAAATGAATTGTAGACAATTTCATAAGCTTTCTAGATTGTCTTGTTGCATGTCATTTGGAATTATAAATCTCTAGTTATGGCTAGTTTACTGCACCGCTACATAGTATTCATTTTGCTGAAATACAAATGCTTGAGTGTATATTGTTGCAAGGTTATCGTTGATTGTTTAGGGGTTAGCCTAACTTGAGGATATGCTTAGGTGCAGGTGCTAGGTCATTAACTGAAGATGAGCAATTATACCTTAGGTTATATAAACGTGGTAAGTAAAGTGATTTGAATAAGGCTTAAGTTGGAATATGCAAACTACAGCGAACATGTGCATTCCCCGAGCATCCCTGACATTCGTTCATGTACATCCATGATTTTTATCTTACGCATTCATGCAATAGGTGTGCCGGAGGGAGTGACGTTGCTGGAGTTCGAGGGAGCCAACCAGGAGGAGGAACCCGAGGTGCAGGAAGCCGACGAAGCAGTCGCCGCGGAGGAATTGCCCGAGTGCCCTGACCACCAGCCTTCCTCGTTCCTAAAAGGCAAGGCCCAGAGCATATTAAGCCTCCCATGTTTTTACAAATACTTTGAGTACCTTTTATTGTTGATGATGCATTAAGTATAGGAATTGGTTGGAACCAATTGCTGCATTATACATCCTTTCTTGTCTAGATATCGCACTGGAATCCTATTTAAGTTCAGGAGCGGGTTAAATGCTTAGCCATGCTTAGTGCGGTAGAAGTCAGGTGATTTCCTGTCACCTGCGAGCTTTAGGATGAGGTGGATCACGGTTGGCTATATTTGCTATCATGGAAAAGAACCATGTGAATAATGAATTAAGACCGGGCGGGGTCTTGTGTAGGTTTGAACATAGTGACTCCGTCTGAGTCGTTTAAAGACCGATACGCTGTACGTCCTCATGTCATGTTGAACGCAGCCTAACACTTAGCTGGCCGGATAAGTCATTCCGACCGCGAAGCCTAGTAGCTCGACTCAGGCCGGGGACGTGAGCAGTGGCGGCATTCTGGAGGTAGTAAGGATGTGCGGAGAGCCATTGGCATAAGTCCAAGGCGGGTTAGAGTCCCGAACAACCTTGGCAGAGTGGTTCTCTGAGAATGTCGATCTAATCGGACTCGCGACTCCTGAATCGTACCAAAGGTGACTTGTTTGCGACTCCGACGGAGAAGCAGAGTTTGTGTTTAGGAATACCCTCCAAATTTGGATAGGAATCGATTTGAATCGCCGCCTCTCCGGATAGTGAGAATTTGACCGAGCAAATGACAACGTAGATTCAATTAACTTAACGATATGGTTAAATGGATGATGATGATAAGGTTGCCACAATGAATACCGATATGGTTATTAATGTTTGCACCCTAATAAAATGATTGCTTAGTACAAAAAGTGCTAATATAGTTGATGTGTTAATGGCTAAAAAGTCACCGCTAGTTCAGGTTAAGAGTTAATCATTATTACTTATGCTTTTCTCGCAAAAAAGAAAGTGTCACCAGATCCACTACATTAAGCTATGCATAATCCTTGGTGTCATTTATTTTGGTTTCAAGGTAAGTCTAGCTGAGTATATTCCCTGCATCGTGGTTTATTCCCTCTTGTTGTAGATGACCTTATATATCGTGGATTCTGTAAGTATTGTCTCCACCCTACGGGTAATGAAGACTAGATCATGGGCATGATCTCTCGCTTCTTATCTCAATGCTTTTCGGGCGTGATCAAGAACCAAGATGTGTATTTGAACTCGAGTGTGTGAGTTAAACTAATTGCTTCCGCATGTTTTACAAGACTTGTTTTGTAATAACGATGACTCTGTGATGATGTAATCTATTTGTGAACGTCTGCGAAATGTTGTAACGTACGATATGTTATGTTGAATTACTGTGATCTTGGTTGTATGCAAGTTGGTTTGAAATCCTTCGAGATTTCAGTTGACTACCGGGTTTATATGGGCTCAAGTTCGAGAATTTAATCATTTCGGCGATTGTTTTTGTAGTTGTGCTCTTATAAATTGATCGGTTCTGTGACAGGTACTACCATGGCATCAGCCGTTGTTGCCATAGCATTTGTACCTCCTTGGTCATCATCAGAATTGTCTGAATCACTGCTAACTATATCACCGATCATGTCCTCCTCCTCCTCTTCCCGTTCGAACTCATTCACATCGAAGTCATTGGTTATACAGCCTACTGCAGTTGAATGAAACTGCTCCTGCGTCAACTGACCGTCCAAATCCATGTTATCCTGAGTTGCTTCTCCTTCGACCCCTAATTCTTTTTCATTGCCTCCAAATCCATCAATGGACGGCTCGTCCTGAACACCATGCATCATGTACCCATTCTCCACCACCACCCCAGTCATGGGCACATTGGAACCTTGGATAACCCTAGTGTAGCGAGACTAGTGAGCAGGGTCGCGCAAGGGCATGAGGACATAGTGTGCCCTAGTCTTTCCAGTATCAAACCTACCCTTTAGTGTGAAATCACCGTCAAACTTTATATTCAAACGAACACAAAGGTCGTTGAAACTAGGAGGTTCCTCAAACCATTCTAATTCTTCTTCCATATCCTCAAACATACCATCCTCTCTCGTAACACTTCCTCCGTGAAAACTCTAACACAACAATCCATCTGTAAAAGCATTTCAAGAAACTTCATTAAGTCATCGAAATCATCGTACGAATGTCCATACTAACATTAATATATTTTCTAACTATAACTATACTAACTAATCAAATATTAACATCTATACAAGGCATACTATAACTGTACTAACTAAACTACCTAACTTTACTACCTATACTAACTTATTATATTACGTATACTAACTAAACTAACCAACTTTACTAACTATACTAACTATACTTTAATAATTTTACTAACTTTATTAACTGTGTTAACTATATTAGTGGAGTACCTCGTTGCAGCACTCAAGACCGGGCCGGGAGGCGCGGGCGCAGGGCAGCCGCCGTGCGTGGCCGGAGGTTCTGGCCGGAGGGGGAGGCGCGCCGGAGTGCGGGCGCGGTGGTCGCACCCGGCGGTCGGCGGCCTGGCTGCCTGGCTGGCGCGGCTGGGCGGACGCGGCTGGCTTGCTGGCTTGGTCGGGCTGGCAGGCATGGGCGCACGCGGCTGCGGCGGGGAGGCGCGGGCGAAGGTGGGGGCGGCGGGCATGCTGCCTTGCTGCGCTGCTCGGAGAACGGCGACTGCTCGGGAAGCGGGCCACGACGGAGGTTATACCCGGCTCTGCCGCGCCATGGATCAGGGCGCGGCACTGCCGCGCCAAGATTGGTGGCACGACAGAGCCCTGCCCCGTCAGCGGTCAGCGCTTCTGGTCGCCGCCACGTCAGCTCCTTGCTGCGCCGCCATGCATGGCGCGGCACAGGCATTTGGCCGCGCCAGGACAATAGGCGCGGCCAAAAGTGTTAGCGTAAAAAAAACGAAAGTGTTAGATTTAAAATTAGTTTCGAAAAAATATTAAAATTAAAAAAAAATCGGTGCAGCAACGCTGCAACGTACTAGTGGTTACGGTGCTGGGGTTTCAGGCGCGGTTAGGACTTAGGAGTTTGCCTCGGATCATCCGTCGACGACTAATCACTTACTGTAGCTTTACTGTAACATCAAGTTGTCAAATCATGGACTGGTTAGGCTTAAAAAATTCGTCTCGTAAATTAATCGCAATATGTATAATTAGCTATTTTTAGTCTATATTTAATACTATATGCATATGTCCAAACAGACTAAACTTTAGAGGAGGGACTAAACAAGGCGTAGGCAAGAAAAAGTGTGGCAAAAGTTAGGTGCCAAGCGTGACAACCCCTGACAATCTTAGGAATGAAGCAAACATGCTCACCTTGCAATCATGAATTATCAAAAATATCGACATTGTACTGCACCAATGAGTTTTACTCTCACCAAAATCTCAAGCTTTCGTGGTACAAAAGGTTGAAAGCTTTTGCTAAACAAACGGAGGGCGCAATAAAGAAAAGCAAAAAGTCTCATGTCCTTCTTCCAAAATTTGGATTTCGGTAAGTGAACTGGCACAAGAATGATACAAAGTAAATTGCATTTGTGCAGTCTCGCTCGTTCGTAACTTCAGGAATATAAGTCAAGAACAAGTATCCTACTACACTGATTCAAAATCCTTTTTTTTTATCAAACTTCCATCTAGTAAAAAAAACCTAGCACCTTGCCACCAACGTTCTTCCTCCTGGCCTCTTCATGATCCATGATGCCAGCTGAGATCGTCAAAACAATAAAACCGAACTGCACAACAAACAATGAAAGATAATTAGATTATCTCTATCTCTTCTCTTCTCTCCAACTAAAAAGCGGTAAATGTCCAGGTCGGCAGGACGAAACTCTCGATCCAACTTTCACCCGGCGCTTCGTATTGCGCCCTCTAAGAATTCGGCGTGACAGGTGGGGCCATGACCCACGCACTCTCTCGCCATCTCTCTCCGCGTCCACCACCACCAGTGCTCCTGCATCGTCTCCCCGAGACCCACTTGCGCGGCCGCTGCCGGTTCCCCTGCTCTAGGGTTATCGCCGCCGCCGCCGTCATCCCATCCCATGCTGCCGCCCCGGCGCTCGGTGCCCACGCTACCCCCATTTCCCCATCCCCAATTATCTCGTATCTGTGAACCAATTTCTCTCCGATCTGCGAACAAGCGCATGCTCGCCTCCTACCTCTCCGGCGGCGCTCGCCTCCCTCTCCGTCCAGCGGCGCTTGACTCCCTCTCCGTCCAGCGGTGCTTGGCTCCCTCTCCGTCCAGCGGTGCTTGGCCACCTCCCCACGGCAACAGCGCGCGCGGCCCCCTCCACCTGGCCGGCGGCAGCCACAATGCCCAGCAACCGCCTCCGCCACCCACATCTGGATCCTGCCCGTTCCAATGAAGTGCTTATCAATTAGCTTAGCTTCAATATATGTGTGCCCAAATCTCTTTGTATCCTAAGGTACCAGTGCACTCGATTAGTTGTTCTGCACTTCTATGAGTTAAATTTAAAATCTTATGATAAATCTAGAGAATTCGCTCTCAGATTCCCTAGGTCTTCGTTGTCAATGTGAATTCATACTGAATAAAAGTTAGATGTTATGTCAACTAACAAATGTTGACCAACTCTTAGATCTTGTTCCTTTTGTATTTTCTATAGATTTTTTTATCAGTTCCTTCTTTACTATCACCTTCATGCTGGCATGTCAATTCTTTTGTTACAGGCACTATTCAACCAAGCACTCGCTTGTTGTGTGCTAACTACAAAAATAGTCCCTGATCTCCTTCACAACAGCTTTCGTATTGTCACATGCAAATGATGGTAACCTCGCCTTCTACGTGTGTATGAAATGGGTTGTCATACTACTACTCCACATGAATGTCTTATCTTCATTTGATGCCCAATTCAGGCGTTTTGTTATTTCCTCCTGGACTGGATGATTACAGTGCCAGTGGATGTACCAAAGGTGTGTATGGATGTGCACCAGCATACATTGGGTGTTTGGGGGTGTTTGTACACGAGCATATTGACTGCAATAGTTGCTAGGACAGATCTCGACTTATTTCAGTTCTGCAGACTATGGGCAGATCTCAGAACAACACTACACCAGCATACATGTGGCTTCCTCTTGAATTGCTGAAAAATCACAATGATTGGAAATATCCTTTGGTTGTTGGGCGCGTTTAGTTCCCAAAATTTTTTGGGTTTGAGTACTATTTGGCTACTGTAGTATTTTCGTTTGTATTTGGTAATTAGTGTCTAATTATGGACTAATTAGGTTTGAAAGTTTCGTCTCGCGATTTCTCACCCAACTGTGTAATTAGTTTTTTTTTCGTCTACATTTAGTACTCCATGCATTAGCCGCAAGATTTGATGTGACACTTTGTGGTGAAATTTTTTGGAATCTAAACAGGGTAAGCTTGTCATATCAATACATACAATGAATACCTTAGCAGAAGAAACACTAGACCCATATGATGCTATTGCTAGCTCAGCTTCCATATATTTTGCAAATTATGGAATTGGCTGTTTGTGTGTCTTTAACCAATTGAGTTCCCTAAATAATTGCAAGAATACCATTTCATGTATTTGGGTAAAGTATTGAGATCATACCAAAACTGGAGCAGAGTATTTGTGTGCAAAGGCACTGTGGTTAGTAAAGAGTTGATCCACAAAAGGGACAGTTCCGTGAGACGCTCGCTGGGCAGGAATCGCTTAGTATCAAGGTGGCCTATCAGCGTCAATTGGCTCGGATCCTCTTTTTTTTTTAGAATAAATTGGCCCGGATCCAACGGGCGTCAAATATACTGTGAGGTTTAGTTTTGATTAGGAGCCGATTCCTTCTGATTGTGATTTGGAGTCAGTTTTTTTTCTCATTTTGATTAAAGATTGGACCGTATAGAACTGCTCCGACAAATGATTCTAATATTCATAAGGAAGTCTGGTACAAGTTTAAACACACGTTCAAACTTAAGCTATCATGATATTTTCTTTTTCCTGTTGCAACGCACGGGTATGATCTAGTTATAATATAAAATTGAACTGCGTGTACAGATACCCAGCGTCACATCTAAATATAGTTAGAAACAAGCACGAATGGCGAAGGAACGGACCTGACGAGATGGAAGGAGCCTAGCAGTCCACCCTTCAAGTTCCTTGACACCAATATCAAAACGAGGACTGATTACTCCGCACTTGTTCAGCCTGCCATTCAACTCAACAACAATCTTTCCAGCACGATGGTCATCAACATACTCAAACTCAACGATATACCCTGCAGAAAAGGACAGCAGTCATGAACCCTTTCCTTGCTTTCAACAAGTTTCAAACAAATGTAAAAAAAGAGAACTAACCATGCTTCTGCGTCACCAAAAGGAACTTTATGATCACCTTTGAAGATGGCCTGATCATCACTTGCCTCTTCCCACGCTTCTCGGCATTATACATGCTCTTGAGAGCATCGTTCAAGACTCTGACTCTCACCATCCTCCGGTGAACCTGCAGAGATTTGCACCAGCAGACTTGTGAAGAGAATGAAAATATTCAACATTTAACTTTGAGCTGTTCAATGGCGAAGTATGTATGTAGTTTAACTATGGTGTAGGAGCGTCTTGCAGACCAGATTCTTTTTTTTCATTTTTAGGTTTGATGCAAGAAATCTCTCCCAAATGGGAAGCAGTTTCCCATGGTTGGACTGGTTAGATCTTCTGCTGAGATCATGTGTTTGCTTGCTTGTTTGTTTCTTCTTATTGGGCGGGGCTCCAGAAAGGTGCTGGAAGGAGCAGATATTCAGAAGGAAGCAGTGCTAAGCTTCCACACTCGAGCAGCATGATGAAGGCAGCAGGATGGAGGTACTAACTTAAGATGTAGCAGTCTCATTGCGATGATGGAGGTAGCGAGAAGATACTAGTGGGCACTAAGAAGTGCAAAATGTTGCTGTTTTTGCATCTAGGTGGTGGAGTGGACCATGGGCCTATTCTATGTCTTATTGTCTGTTGTTTAGTAGCTGTAAGAATAGAAGGTTGCTAGTAGTTAATATTGGTTTGGTTACGTGTCTGGGTTAGCCGATTAGAACTCTTTGTGTTGCTTGTTGTAGTAAGACTCTGTTCAAAACTCAAAGTACCCAAACCATGTAATTTCATTGATTATGGCAATAAAATGGACGTCACCAGTTGTGGAAAAACAGACTTGTAAGGCTGCCATGTGTTACAAACCCAAAAGGATTACACTGGCTGCTTTGGAATAAAATAATTGAGTATATATAAGAAACAGCAACTAGTAAGCCATCAAATAGGGGTCTACTAACACGTTAAGACTAACAGATAACATTTCACAAAGGTAAAAACAAAAGATACTTTGTGGTATACTTTGTGGCAGATGGAAAGGGTGAAAAGAAAACCCAGCATGCAAATTAAATGGCAAATCGAATAACACTGACACACAGGCCACAAGTCTTGCAATCATAAATGTTTCAGTAGTCCACAAACTGACTATCCACTGGATGGGCAAATTAGGTAAGAGACAATACAGCTTTTATTGGTAGCATAACATGTGAAACAACACACTGACACTGTCATCAACTCATCATTTCTTTTTGCCAAGGACAACAGTAATCGCTGACATAGGATGCTGCAATGAGCATACTGGAGACTAGATAACCTTGTTCCCCCCTATGTCGAACACATTCATAACACATGGCTTTCTGTAGAGGCAATAGACGTGTATAGCTTGCTTTGCCAGTGAATAGTTGCACCTAGACTATGTAATGCAAGAACTATTATATCAGCAAAAATAGCTAATGGTGCTACCCATAGCCAGAATTGAAAGGCATCCACATCACAAGGAATTGACATCCAAACTAAACATTTGGCTTCCTCACGTCCACCAGACCAGGGACTATCATCATCATCACTTAAGGAAGCATCATTATCCCAAGTGACCAAATATGAACCACCCTTCTTCTTTTTCTTGAAGGTTATCTTGTCCTTCTTCTCTTTCTTTTCCTTCTTGTCCTTCTTCTTATTTTTCTTGTCATCATCATTGTCACTATTGTATGGGCATTGAGCAACAAGATGATCTTTGCTTCCGCAATTAAAGCACCTTCTTGACTCTTCCTTGTTCTTGGATGAAGACTTTTTTTCTTCTAGCACGGTAACCTTTCTTCATCATGAACTTACCAAATCTCTTGACAAAGAGAGCCATCTTCTTATTATCCATCTCATCAAAGCTCAAGTCTTCATCTTCACTTGATGATTCTTGCTTTGCCTTGCCCTTGGATGATGTGGCCTTGAATGCCACACTCTTCTTCTTCTCATCCTTGTTCTCCTTCTTTTCTTCCTTCTCATCATCGTCTGTATATGTATCATCGGTCATTATATCTCCTAACACTTGGTTTGGTGTCAAGGTTTTCAAACCACTCCTCACTAGAATAGTGACCAATGTACCAAATCTTGAGGGTAGGCATCACAAGAACTTATGAGAGAAGTCCTTGTCCTCCACCTTCTCTCCAAGTGCTTTGAGATCATTGACAAACACTTGAAGCCTATGAAACATCTCCGCATACTCTCATCCTCCTTTATCTTAAAACTAGCAAACTTCTCCTTGAGGATATATGCCTTGGCTCTCTTCACCGCTTGAGGGCCCTCAAATGACTCCTCCAAGTTCTTCCAAGCCTCATAAGCCATCTCAATGCTCTTGATTTGCTCAAATGTTCTCTCATCAATAGCATCATGAATGACACTAAGAGCAATATCGTTGTTTTGGAGAAGTACTTCCGGCGGTTGTGGGATTCTCCAGATCTTCTATCTCAATCTTGGTCTCCACCACTTTCCAAACCTTTCTATTGATTGACATGATATATGTTGTCATCTTAGCCTTACAATAGGGATAGTCTGAACCACCAAATTGGGGTGGCTTCTTGGTGTTGTTGATTTAAGCTATTTTGACACCGAAGGTTGCTAAGCCTCAAATCACGGTGACCATGGCTCTGATACCACTTGAAAGGTCCTAATGGCTAGAGGGGGGTGAATAGCCTATTAAAAATTTCTACAACAACACTAAGACAAATGATTAGTCAATAAGAGGGCGAAGCGAATTTTGCGCTAGCACTATACTTGGGGTTGCAAGCCACCTACCAAATTCTATTTTCTATGATCTCTAGTATATCACAACAAGGCTATGTCTCTAATTTACACCTATGTGATCAATCTAGCAAGAGTGATACAATTAAGTGCTATACTATATAGTCTTGACTACCACAAGCTCTATACAAATGAATGTACAATGAAATTCAAGAGAGTGGTAGAGAGGTATACCGCCGTGACAAGTGATCAATCAATGAATACCAAGGAGACAATCAAGGCACAATGATTTTTCCTCCGAGGTTCACTTGCTTGCCGACAAACTAGTCCCTGTTGTGGCGATTCACTCACTTGGAGGTTCACGCGCTAATTGGCATCACACGCCAAACCCTCAATAGGGTGCCGCACAACCAACACAAGGTGAGGATCACACAAGCCACGAGCAATTTACTAGAGTACCTTTTGGCTCTCCGCCGGGGAAAGGTCAAGAACCCCTCACACTCACCATGATAGGAGCCGGAGACAATCACCAACCTCCGCTCGATGATCCTCACTGCTCAAAGCCGTCTAGGTGGCGGCAACCACCAAGAGTAACAAGCCAAACATGCAGGGGAGATACAAATACCAAGTGCCTCTATTTGCAAACACTCAAGCAATGCACTTGGATTTTCTCCCAATCCCACAAAGATGATAAATCAATGATGGAGATGAGTGGGAGGGCTTTGGCTTAGCTCACAAGGTTGTTATGTCAATGCAAATGGTCAAGAGGGTGAGCTAGAGCTGGCCAAATGATATTTATAGACACCCCAAATAATAGAGCCAAGTACCTCAATTATTAGGCTATCTCAAGGGTGACCGGACGCGCAGGTCGTGTGCACCGGACGCGTCTGGTGTGGTGACTAGACGCATCTGGTCCCTACGTCTGGTCGCCACTAAACTGCCACGTGTCTCTTTCAAATCATTTAACCGTTGGCGCCCAACGGCTTTCTCTGTGAACACTGACATTACTTGATCGGACGCGCTGTTAGAAAACGACCGGATGCGGAAGACGTAGTGTCAGGTTGGGTCCAGAGAGCTCCTAGAGCCGCTTTGAGCTGACTGGACGCGTTCGGTCACACCGGACCGGATGCTCCCAGCGTCCGATGAATTATAGCGCTGAAGACCCGAGACTAGCTAGTTCACACCGGACGCGTTCGGTGTGGCAACCAGACGCGTCCGGTCACTCTCTGCGATCCTGCTTTGGGTTATATCACTTTGACCTGACGCTGAACAGTAACCCGTCAACATCCGGTCGCTGCACAGAGCCAGAGTCCGGTCACTTTCACATAGTCGCCCACCTTGGGTCCAAATACCGGACGCGTCCGATCCTGATTTCGGACGTGTCCGGTCATCCCGTGACCAGCGCGACTAACTCCTTTTCAACTCTATCTTCTTCACCTTTGCTCAAATATGCCAACCACCGAGTGTATCACCTTATGCACATGTGTTAGCATATTTTCACAAATGTTTTCATGGGTGTTAGCACTCCACTAGATCCTAATGCATATGCAATGAGTTAGAGCATCTAGTGGCACTTTGATAACCATATTTCGATATGAGTTTTACCCTCTTAATAAATACGGCTATCGATCCTAAGTGTGATCACACATGCTAAGTGTCTTGATCACCAAAACAAAATGGCTCCTACCACTTATACATTTGCCTTGAGCCTTTTTGTTTTTCTCTTTCTTCTTTTCCAAGTCCAAGCACTTGATCATCACCATGGCATCACCATCATCATGATCTTCACCATTGCTTCATCACTTGGAGTAGTGCTACCTATCTAATGATCACTTGGATAAACTAGGTTAGCCTTAGGGTTTCACCAATTCACCAAAACCAATCTAGAGCTTTCAATCTCCCCCTTTTTGGTAATTGATGACAACCCTTACACAAAGATATGAATTGAAATTTAATTGAATCCATGTTGCTTGCCCAAGCATATTTACCATGTGTAAAGGGATATGGACAAGTTTCATGAACTCTGAATGGTAGCAATTGCTCCCCCTACATATGTATTAAGAGTTTGGATTGTAGCTTGCACATATGGTTAGATAGGAAACTTAGGAGTCAATGTCTACCAAATGATGCTAAGGTATAAGAGATGGACCTTTGAAGCGTGATACCAATCGGAGTGCACCAATATACCATCCTTAGCACCATGAATAACTAGACATCCACACAAAAAACTAGAATACCCCGTGAGATCAACATTAGAAGTAAGGGTCTAGTTTTCATAATGTGAGAATGAGTCTAGTTACTTAACCTATGCATGCTAGTTTTTCATTTCATCATTCAAACCTACAGCTAGCATACACCACACAAGCATGGATATTGAAATTTAAAACTTATGCCATGCAAGCAAAT